ATTATTATTATTTTTTATATATTTTAAAAAGCCTTGCCTAAGTATTTTGTACTATTTTTAAAATTTGTGAAACCGAATGTGCACCTGCTTTGTCTCACTGTATGCTGTACAAAGGTCATTGATATTATTGGACAAATTCATTGAATATTGCCAAAAAACACTCAAAACAATAATCATTCAATATTGATAAGAATTGAAACAGCATATTCTTCTCCATCATCCGCCTTTGTTGAAAAAAAATCACTTGATAATGAATCAATATTTATTTTAAAATTATTTTCGAAATTATTCACAGTTACCTGCATACCAAAATTTCAGTTTTAAAATTGTATTGACGTTAACTTGTGAATATTTAACGGCAAAGAAATTATTTATTTGAAATGCATAATTTGGAAAAACTTAAACGTGTTTGCATTATCATTGGCTTGGCTAATGCCGCCTATAATATTTGTAAAATATTGGAACATGGCCTCCGATACAAGGGAACGGGAGTTATATTCGAATTTTCAACATTTTTAAGTAAGTGGGATTTTAATCCATATAAAGTTTTTGTTTATTAATTTGAAATAGTGAACTGAATTTTCATTTGTGTGTTTCACAGAAATGGATCCGATGAATTTGGCCATAGTCATATTACAGCTAAGTGTTGTTGTAATGGCATTTTTATTAGTTCTCGGAATAAAAATGGTGAGTTATTAGACATTTTATCCAGTATGTCAAAACATTTAATGACTGTCAACGCCTTAAGCCTACTTTCCAGAATTTTTTCTCATGACTAGGCATGGAAAGCTAAAGAATATTTTTTCAAGGATTATACGCCTTCCAAATTTTGAAAAAAAAAACATTTTTTCCAGGACTATGAAAATCGTGATTTTTTTTAACGAATATTATTTCAGAAGTTTTCATAAGTGTGGAATTTTTAAAGAATATTTTTCGAGAACTTTCAAAATCGTGGATTAAAAAAATATTTTTTTCGGACACTTCCATAGGCGTGAAGTTTTTTAAAGAATATTTTTTCAAAGGCTATGAAAGGCGTGGATTTTTAAAGAATATTTTTTCAAAAGCTATGAAAGGCGTGGAGTTTTAAAGAATATTTTTTCAAATGCTATTAAAGGCGTGGATTTTTAAAGAATATTTTTTCAAAGGCTATGGAAGGCGTGGATTTTTAAAGAATATTTTTCAAAGGCTATGAAAGGCGTGGATTTTTAAAGAATATTTTTTCAAAGGCTATTAAAGGCGTGGATTTTTAAAGAATATTTTTTCAAAAGCTATGAAAGGCGTGGAGTTTTAAAGAATATTTTTTCAAATGCTATTAAAGGCGTGGATTTTTAAAGAATATTTTTTCAAAGGCTATGAAAGGCGTGGATTTTTAAAGAATATTTTTCAAAGGCTATGAAAGGCGTGGATTTTTAAAGAATATTTTTGCAAAAGCTATGAAAGGCGTGGATTTTTAAATAGTATTTTTTCAAAGGCTATGAAAGGCGTGGATTTTTAAAGAATATTTTTACAAAAGCTATGAAAGGCGTGGATTTTTTAAAAAAATATTTTTTAAGGGCTATGAAAAGCGTGGATTTTTTAAAAAAATATTTTTTAAGGGCTATGAAAGGCGTGGATTTTTTAAAAAAATATTTTTTAAGGGCTATGAAAGGCGTGGATTTTTTAAAAAAATATTTTTTAAGGGCTATGAAAGGCGTGGATTTTTTAAAAAAATATTTTTTAAGGGCTATGAAAGGCGTGGATTTTTTAAAAAAATATTTTTTAAGGGCTATGAAAGGCGTGGATTTTTTAAAAAAAATATTTTTTAAGGGCTATAAAAGGCGTGGATTTTTTAAAAAAATATTTTTTAAGGGCTATGAAAGGCGTGGATTTTTTAAAAAAATATTTTTTAAGGGCTATGAAAGGCGTGGATTTTTTAAAAAAATATTTTTTAAGGGCTATGAAAGGCGTGGATTTTTTAAAAAAATATTTTTTAAGGGCTATGAAAGGCGTGGATTTTTTAAAAAAATATTTTTTAAGGGCTATGAAAGGCGTGGATTTTTTAAAAAAATATTTTTAAGGGCTATGAAAGGCGTGGATTTTTTAAAAAAAATATTTTTAAGGGCTATGAAAGGCGTGGATTTTTTAAAAAAATATTTTTAAGGGCTATGAAAGGCGTGGATTTTTTAAAAAAATATTTTTTAAGGGCTATGAAAGACGTTTTAAATGTTTTAAAGCATGCCCCATTGTTTTTTATACCCTTCACCACACTGTGGTATAGGGTATAATGTATTTGTGCATATGTTTGTAACAGGCAAAAATAATCGAGATAGACCCACGGTTCCTTTTGACAATATGCATAGAATCACTTTCTGAGTCGATTTATGCATGTCCGTCCGTCCGTCTGCCCATGTTAAATTGTATAGATCGCATTTATGATCCGAATTGGATGAAATTTGGCACAGCTCATTTGTTTGGCCCAAAGACGAAACCTATTGAAATGGGGAAAAATCGGTCAGATTTAGATATAGCTCCCATATATATTTTCGTCCGATTTAAGGTAAATGGTGCACCAAAGTCCCTAAATATCTTTCGATTTGCACGAAATTTGTCACAGCGTACTGAATTAACTCTAGAATGATGTGTACTAAGTTTTGTGAAAATCGGTTCAGATTTAGATATAGCTCCCATATATATTTTCGTCCGATTTAAGGTAAATGGTGCACTAAGGTCCCTAAATATATTTTGATTTGCACGAAATTTGTCACAGCGTACTGAAATAGCTCTAGAATGATGTGTACTAAGTTTTGTAAAAATCGTTTCAGATTTAGATATAGCTCCCATATATATTTCAAAAATCTTTCGATTTGCATGAAATTTGACACTGCGTACTGAAATAAGCCTAGAGTGATGTGTTCTTAGTTTTGTGAAAATCGGTTTAGATTGAGATATAGCTCCCATATATTTTTGTCCGATTAAAGGTAAATGGTGCACCAATATCCCTAAATATCTTTCGATTTGCACGAAAAATGTCACAGCGTACTGAATTAACTCTAGAATGATGTGTACTAAGTTTCGTGAAAATCGGTTCAGATTTAGATATAGCTCCCATATATAGTTTCGCCGGATTTTAGTTAAATGGTGCACCAAAGTCCCTGAAAATCATTTGACTTGCACGAATTTTGGCATAGCGCATTGAATTAAGTCTAGAATAACGTGTGCTAAGTTTCGTGAAAATCGGTTTAGATTTTGATATAACTCCCATATATAGTTTCACCCGATTTAAGGTAAATGGTGTACCAAAGTCCCTAAATATCTTTCGATTTGCACGAAATTTGGTATAGCCTACTGAATAAGGTCTAGAATGATGTGTGCTAAGTTTCGTGAAAATCGGTTCAGATGTAGATATAGCTCCCATACATATTATCGTCCGATTTCCGGTAAATGGTGCACCAAAGTCCCTAAATATATTTCGATTTGCACAAAATTTGTCACGCGTACTAAATTAACTCTAGAATGATGTGTACTAAGTTTTGTGAAAATCGGTTCAGATTTAGATATAGCTCCCATATATATATATATATATATATATATATTCGTCCGATTTAAGGTGAATGGTGCACCAAAGTCCCTAACTATCTTTCGATTTGCACGCAATTTGGTAAAACGTACTGAATTAAGCCTAGAATTATGTGGGGTAATTTTCGTGAAAATCGGTTTAGATTTAGTTATAGCTCCCATATATATTTTCATTCGATTTAAGGTAATTTGTGCAGCAAAGTCCCTAAAAATCTTTTGATTTACACGAAATTTGGCACAGCGTACTGAATTAACTCTAGAATGATGTGTACTAAGTTTCGTGAAAATCGGTTCTTTTTTAGATATAGCTCGCATATATATTTTTGTCCGATTTAATGTAAAAGGTACACTATCCCCTATAAATTTTCCGATTGGCACGACATTTGACATAAAGGTACTAAATTCAGTCTAGAATGATGTGTGTTAAGGTTTGGAAAAATCTAAAGATGATTTGTCTATTCTATCTCCAGGATATTGTATATCTTAGCGTCTGTAGTATGTACCCATAGTGGTGATAACTATATGATAAGTCGGTCCCGTCCGACTTTAGTACTTTCCTTACTGGTTTTTCTTTTTTCAGAAATGTCGTTTATTCGTTGGATTTTGGCTACTTTACAGCCTAGCTGTATATCTGGCTCAGCGATTATTATTGTGGCTGACGCATAGCTCCCATCAACTTCCCGAAGAGATTATTTTTGGAATGAAATCTTTACGTAAATAACAAAAAACAACTACTAAATAATATGTTCGGATTAACACTTCTGCATATTTGTTTCAGCTCTCCAAGTGATGATTATCTATCCCGTTTATGTTCTATTCAAGGCGATGCGATTCGATGTCGACGATGATATGGAAAGAAGATTGTTATTTAATCGCAGATCCAATCATTAGTAAAGGTGAAAGAGACAATTTAATTTTCCTTCAAATTAAAAAAAACAATTATAATAGAGATGAGTAATTTTGTTTCTTAATAAGTTGTCAAATAAAAATTTTAATGGCAATAAAGAAACAGAATTTTGAAACTATATGCAATAACAAATAATTATGTTCCGGTGACACTTGGGGTTATCAGTTTTTTTTTTTTTTGTGCTAGACAAAAAATATATATTTGCAAGACCAAATAAAATGATCAGATCAGTTTTCTTCATAGTTACCATAGAGTGAGGGTGTATATTTCAGAAAAAAATAAAAATGTCATTAAGTTCCCTTTCGAAACACTGTATTGGTACGGCGATCTTTTTGTTTGGAGCTAGCGTGGCCTTAATGCTGTTTACAAATGAGCGTTGGACATTCAAAGTACCTAAGAACGATGAATGGGAGAGAGGTAAGATATTATATAAAAGAAGTAAAGAACACGACAATGAAGTTTGGGATGTATGCATATCGCATTTGTTGGTCATATCTCAATGTTTTTGGAAAACTCCATTTAATTATAAAGGTTTTCATTTTTCAGAATACTATCAGGAAATGTTTTTCTTGGCAATGACAGCTATTTCTTCAATGCTAATGATGGCTAGTGCATTCACGGTAAATATTTTACAAACATTATATGCTCTTTTTAAACCATAAAATTTATTAATAAATTTTCACCTTTTCAGAGACGTCCACTGCTGTTCATACCAATTTGGATAGTTGGTTTTGTTTATCTTGGTTATATGTATTATATAAAAATATCTCAGTTCCATGAAAACTATTATAAACTAATTGCTGACTTACTGGTTTATGGTGGTATGATTAACAAAAAAATAATATTTTATTATTATTTATATTAACATTTAATAATTATTATTTCAGGTCTGGTCTTTGCCATATTGAATCCAACTGTTGGTGTCCGAAAAGAAGTTATACAGGAGAAATCGATTAAACAAAAAAATAAATAGACTAAAATCGAATCGAAAATAAATAGACTAAACGAAGGAATTCAACTGAATCCCATGCAAACCTTAACTATAATTAAAGTTAATATGTAACAAAAATAAATTGTTTCTTTACTTCTTGAGTTTTTAGAGGATTTTTTAAGAATATTTTTTTTCAAGGACTATGAAAGACTTAGATTTTTAAGAATATTTTTTCAAGGGCTATGAAAGACGTGGATGTTTTAAAGAATATGTTTGGAGGATTTTTTAAAGAATATATATTTTCAAGGGCCGTGCAAGGCGTATTTATTTAAATATGTTTTAAAGCATGTCTCATTTTTTATACCCTTCACCACACTGTAGTTCAGGGTATTATGTCTTTGTGCATATGTTTGTAACAGGCAAAAGGAATCGAGATAGACCCATGGTTGCTTTTGAGAATATGCATAGAATCACTTTCTGAGTAGATTTATGCATGCCCGTCCGTCCGTCTGGACGGAATCCTATTGAAATTGAGAAAATTCGGTTCAGATTTAGATATAGCTCCCATATATATATATATATTTTTTTTTGTCCGACTTACGGACTTTTGTACCTGCAAATCATTCGATTTGCACGAATTTTTGCATAGCCTTCTGAATTAAGTCTAGAATGATATGTGCTAAGTTTCGTGAAAGTCGGTTCACCAAAGTCCCTGAAAATCTTTCGATTTGCACGAATTTTGGCATAGCGTACTTACATTTTAAGTAAGTGGTACACTAAAGATCCATAGCTAGGCCGATTGACACAACGTTCTGAAGTTAATATAAATTAATCTCTGATAAGTTTCCTTGAAATCGGTTCAGATATAGATATAGCATACTTACTTAGCTGGCTTGTTACAGAACGGTTGTTCCATAAGCCGAGCTTAAAAGAGATTTTCAAGCTCGTCGGTCTTGTGCGCAAGTTTACCAATTTGGAAGACAACGTTCCAAGATGTTGTTTTCTACTTGGTCTTTCCATCTAATTCGTGGCCTTCCCTTTCTACGGGAACCATCAGTAGGCTCATTTTTATATGCCTTTTGAGCTGGGGCATTTTCATTCATCCGCACAACATGGCCTAGCCACCGTAGTCGCTGCAGCTCAATACGACTGACTATGTCGATGTCCGCGTATAAATTGTAAAGCTCGTGGTTCACCGTCGACGCAGATCGGCCCGTACATCTTTCGGAGAGCCTCGGCTACCTGTTGTGTTTGCAGCTTTTCGACGTCGAGTTTCCGTGTTGTATTAGATCGCACCTTTGCTGCAACATTAAGACGGGTGCGTACCTTGGCTGCCACAAGGTAATGGTCCGAATCGATATTCGCTCCTCGAATCGATCGGACGTCTAAAACACTGGATGAATGCCTTCCGTCTATCACAACATGATCAATTAGATTTCTCGTTACTTGATCAGGAGAGATCCAGGTGGCCTTATGTATATCGAGATGCTTGAATCTGGTGCTGCTAACTACCATGTTTTTTGCTGCCGCGAAGTCGATCAACCTCATGCCGTTGTCGGATGTTTCTTCATGAAGGCTGAATTTTCTGATGGTGGGGCCAAAGATATTTTCCCTTCCGATTTTTGCATTGAAATCTCCTTGCAGAATTTTAATGTCATGGCCAGGACAACGGTCATATGATGTTTCTAGGCGCTCGTAAAATATGTCTTTGGTCTGTTCATCTTTATCTTCGGTCGGAGCATGGGCGCAAATGAGACTGACATAAAAGAATTTCCCTTTTATACGGATTATAGCAATTCGCTCATCTATTGGAGTGAATCTGGAGACAAGGTCTTTTATTCTCCTGCTAACCATAAATCCGCAGCCAAATTCCCGTCTCGTTTCATGGCAGCTATAATACAGGGCGTAATCGTCTGATTTACTTACGCCTATCCCTTTCCATCGCATTTCCTGTAAGGCATTAATATCGGCTTTGTACTTCTTGAGTATATCCGCTAAAGCGAACACTGCGCCTGTTCTGTACAACGTGCGCTCATTCCAAGTGCAGATTCGCAGATCGTGGTCCTTTATACGTTGGCGGGGGTCGTAAACATTAGGGGGGTTTGGTTTTCTTTTTCTTAGTTTTTTCATAGTAGGAGGGGTTTTCAGAGAGTGGGCAACTAACCCGACGCCTCAACCCATTTTTTATAGTTCTTATGGGCGAGCTCGCGGCACATATTAACTCTCCATTTCATCGGGTGATGAGAATAGCTCCCCAGGTGGCACCGCGGGGAGGTCAGTGTCCACAATTGAGATGAAAGAGGGACCAAGATAAGCCTGGACTTCGCCATGTTAAAGCTAATCAGAGCTTCCATATAATTTCGACTTTAGATTACATATGCTGAATATACCCAAAGTGGTGAAGGTTATCATATAGTCGGCCCAGTCCGACTTTACTACTTTCCTTAGTGGCTTTTTTTTGCACACGTCATTGTAGACTTATATCGGTACTTTAATCAGAAAATGGTGCACCATTAAATCTGAACCGATTTCAAACAACCCAATTTCAATAGAGTTCATCATTGAGCCTGTATTTTGTTTACAATAATACATGGACAGAAAGACCGACGCACATTCATTAATAGTCTCAGAAAGTGATTCTATTCAATTTTTCTGAAGTAATGATGGGTTATCTTCCTCGTGTCATGGTGGAGAATTTTATATCCTCCACCAAAAGGTTATGTGTATATTAAATTTGTGCAGATTGTGTATACTCGGTATTTTGGGGGGTTTAAACACGATTTTCAACAAAATAAGCTATAAACTGGTATTTTGGACTCACTTCGGCTATCAAATCTGCCAAAGAAAAACTATCCATTTTGGCTCATGTAGGGGTATCCCCCATATAGCGGTATTTTGTTATTTTGCTTCTATGTATTTTGTTTGTAAAGCTTCTAAGTAAATTCCTACTAAAAATTATCACATGAAGCTTCACCTTAAAATCTCTATTTTGGGGAACTTGAGCACGTGTTTTAACTAGTTTGGGAGTAAAATAATATTTTCGATTCTCATTGATTAGAAAATGTGCCTACGAAAACTTATGAACATTGATCCATGTTTCCAAGTAGTGGTAAACAACCACTTTTTGGTATTTTAGTGGTTTTGGGTAATTTTTGGGAGGCCAGTTTTGAATATAATGACTTTGTCCATTAAAACAGTAATACAATATTTAAAATGGACTTAACGTATGTCAAATGCATACTCAGTGTAAAGGTTACATCTGTACCTATCAGTTAAAATTTATAAAAACCCAAAAATTACAAAATAAAAAATTTTATGAAGCTTGAAAGCAAAAAGTATGCAATGGTGCCCCCTCTCCCCTATATAATACACTACACAATTACCTCGAAAATAAAACTTTCTGCGGTTCTATGTTCTAGCCGATAATTAGGTCAACAGCTCCACTTTCTTACCCTGACATATTTTCCAAATCTTTTTTTCCCGAAGTGAATATTTACGCCATATAATAAAAATTTTGTCACTAAACATCATCTAATTGGTCAGAACCCCTTCACCGTGTAAAATGTGTGATGTTCTGCATATAATAATGGCCTCTAGAGCGACTAGAAAATCGGACAAAAATTAATTTTTCGGTTCATTGTAGCTCCTAAATATAACCTAAACATCTCTGAAAATTGGAGGCGTCGTCCTTGAGCAAAAATTAATCAATATCGTAACACATATACACCTTTAAATATTTACGTATATCTCCCACATACGAGTACATACAACAATATAATTAGTATCAAGTTAAAGTTCAACCACTCCTCTAGGATATACTATCAAATATGACCTTCAGGAGTATACAAGAATAAAATACAACATTTTGCCGTTTTTTACACAAAAGTCTGGGTCCATTTGACCCGCTAAATATTGACTGAACTTCATCAAAACAGTCATGCTTATTTCTGGACCGGATTCCCTTTCTGGTCTACAATTTTATTGTGTTTGGGTCATACTTGTGACCGCTAGAGTGATCAGAAAAGCAGACAAAAATAAAGTTTTTTGGGCATTTCATCCCCTAAATATTAACGGATCATTACAAAAAACTATAGGGGTCGTCTTTGGCCAGAACCCATCCTACAAGTAAAATTTCGAGACGATTGGTCCATAACTGTGACTGTTTACAAATTATAATGGACAGGGGGGCGGACTTACATTCATGCCTAGATCGACTCAGCCAGTCGAGATATGGTCGGTATACTTAAAGGTGGGTTCAGGATCAATATTTAGCGGCGTTACAAATTCTTGTGGCTGATCAAAACTATTATACCCTGACAACATAGTTGTCTAGGGTGCAAAACGTCCAGTTTAATTTTCCCAACTAGAGTGCCTGTAATTTTGAATACTATTTTTCGGAGCATGATTAACCTACTATAACATAACGCAATAAAATAGTCCCCAAGTAAATGCCCCGAATTTTGAATGCATCCCACGTGGTGGAGGGAATAAAAAGTTTGGCCAAGCCAAACCTAACGACTTTTTTTACTTGTTTCAATTTATAAATTTTCAACATTATGACAGTTTTTAGAAGATGGCCAATAAAGCTGATGGTTGCAATAAATTTATGGTAAGTATTTATACAAAGTTCTGCAAAGTTTAGGCCATACAAAATTTGGATCAAATCCGTTCATTAGATAGTGGACTTTAAAACGTTCAAAATTTTGATTCTTTGGGGATGAGGAATAAACCTATTGACCCCTATCGTGATATAAGTTTGGAAACGATGTGCAAAGTTTGGATCAAGTTGGATTCTGCATCCTTTCCACCTTCGATTAACAAAATTTTACAATTTGGAACCTTTGGGAGTAAATCGATAGATTTTATTTTTGAGCAGGATAACATTTTGGTAAACAAATACTTCGTTAGTATAATATTATTATACTAATCCTATTATACTTGAAGAGATAGCCTCACACCATAATTTGTAGATAGATATTGTATGGTTATA